TCTTGAATGGAGTGAATTCTAAAAATGTATCAGTTTTAGATGTACATCCACTTATTTCTTTTAAAGTTTTATGAAATTTTGTTACGTAGTTCATGAGATACTGTATTTTGCAAACCCTACAGCCATTTAAACCCACACATAGAAAAGGCAAAAACATTTTGTCCTTTTGCCTTTGACATTGGGTAATACTTGCCAATTAAACTCTCTAGCTTAGTGCTACACTGTTGATGGATAAACCTTGCAAACAATGTATTGAGCTAAAGCGTCAGTTTAGTCAGCAGGGGAATACGACTGTTGGCACATTAAATGTATCAAACTCAAAGTAGACACCAGCTGGGATTTGCACAACCACTCATATTGTTTTATAGAGATGTGAGGGAGCAAGTTGGCAGCATTCAGCTGAAAAGTGGAAATATGTACGTTGCTGACTCTGTTGGATTTAAACATTTTGGTTGGTGACTGAGGTTAGTCTGACTTTCTGTTTTAAAAATGAATTTGCACAAGCCGAAAAACTTTCAGCATGCATTTCTTTTTATAGTTTTTTTTTACTTAAATTGTATATTCTTTGTAGGATTGTTGAGAGTAATAAACAAAGACTCGTTAAATTAAATAGATTTTTTTCATTCATTCAACCTTTATTTAGACAGATAAGTCACATTGAGCCAAGGAGACTCATTTACAAGTGAGGCCTGTTTAACCAGACAAAAAGTAGTGAAACTGGACACATGTAGGAATTGGAGGAAAAAAAATTCCTATCAGACTTTTTTCTTCCTATTCGAGAAGAAAAAACTGATATTAAAAAACACCACAAGCACATAGTGACATAGACATTCTGCAGAGGGGGGGGAGGCCATGAAGTGCTTTAAGGTTAGGACCAAAATTTTCTAAATTACTCCTCGAATACACGGAGCCAATGCAGAGGCTACAATAGGAGTATGAGCTCAGTCTTAGTTAATAACCTTACTGCAGCATTCTGCATGGACTGAAGACAAGATAAGACAGAGAGGTTTTGTTTAAACAAGTAAAAAGACTGTTACAATAATCCAAACGTGGATATGAAAGCATTGTTAATCATCTCTGTTTCAATCTGAGACACGAACAATCTCAGCTTGGAAATGTTTCTTAGATGTCAAAACAGTTACGCACTAGCGTTTTACAGTAATAGTCAAAAGAGAAGGAACTGTCAAAGATAACATGAAAATGGCGATTTGAAACCAGTGACAGGATGCACATTTTACACCTACTCCTTCAATAATGGCCTTCCTGAAATTATCCACCTCTTAATACTGTCATTATGATGCCCTGGCTATAGAAACCATCAATTATATACCAAAATGCAGAATAAAAGGGCGCTGCATCACAGACGGGTATATCAAGTAGCGAGAATGAATGACATGACTAAAGCAAGAAATCCAATTACCACAATTCAATGAGTTTCTTTTAACTGCAGTCACAGTTCCACCACATACATATTTAGCAAAAGCACCAATATTAAAGTAATAAAATGACAAAAATATTTAAAAAAAATGTGACTAAAATGTTGTCACCAACTCAAAATCTGACTGGTTAAAGCAATGGTTTCATTGCCATTTCTTTTAAATTACAGGTCCTCTTCTGTTAATTCTGAAGGCTTCAAGGAAGATTTATTTGACCCTAACAACAGATGATGATTGAAATATATGATTGTATAAAAGCTATGTACAAACATATGCTACTGGAAGCTGCACAACCTGGAGAAAAGTTATGAAATGAAGAGAACAGACAATTTGAAATAACAATACCTATCAATTAATAGGAAAAAATATAATAAAGTGCAAATTATTGATTCTGAGAGTATTTAGGCCTAAAGAGAATGACTTGCTGGCCCTAACGACCCACCACTCTTTGAATCTCAGTTAGTTAGCAGTCATTGAACCACCAGTTTGCCTTTGAAAGTATAAGATTGCAAAAGTACATATATAAAGTACAAATTTATAATTAGAACTGCTACATAATGGTTTGTGGTGAATGAGAAACAGATTGGAAATCACTAACCATTGCCACACTGTAATGGTACTAATTACTATCAAACTGGACACAACCTTGTTTTATATTGAAGGAATTTTCGATCCTCGTTTATTGCTATCAATATGCTGGACTTAAGAGATGATAAATGTGTTTATACACTTATCTGATAGTTGCAATTAATTTTCCTGGAAAAGCCTTTAGTGATAAAGAAGCTTTCAGCCTGGTATTGACATACTAGAAAACACTAAGACTTTGTTTGTTTGCATACTGATCACCAGGTTATTGATGGAGGGAGTGAAGATAATGGGAGTTGGTCCTACAAACAGACACGTTAAACACAGCCTGTGTTTGATTAATCAGATAGTTTGAGGAGTTGGAGGACTTTTTTTTTCACACTGCAACATTAAGATGTGGACCATTGTCAGCTGTGAATACTTTCAAATCTACTTGTTATGGCTTACTAAAATGTGAAGTTTGAAACTAAATTTAAAAAAATAATCATCAAAATCTTCAGATAGTTACAATACCTGCCATCTTGTATGCGTTAGAAAGGTCAGCCTACTGTTTTGAAACTGTCATTTATTTAGCCATTAAATCTTGATGTTATACTTGATATTTACTCATAAAAACAACCTTTATACATGTTTTATGAGTAAATTGGCAGTACTAAGGTTTAGCTAATTATTCAAGGTTCTGTATTGTAATTCGCATCACATGTGGTACATGAGGTGGAACGAAATAGTGTACCCAAGGTCCCAGTTACACCCAAAAATATATATGCTATACACTAAAATACGCTTTAATAATTTATATCAATTTGGTTTAATTCTGTTTATTTATGTAGTGCAGACTAACAACAAAAGCTTTTTCAAACAATTTACAGAGTAAGCAAAAAAAAAAAACCTATTTAAATGCAAATATACACAGTAAATACACTGTAATCCATTCCATTTCATTAGAGTTCAAATCAGTGCAAATATAATTCACTCTAATAAATGCAAACAAATCCAGGTCAATGTTATCAAATTTAGACCAGTTTAGTACTTTTCAGTGCAGTAAATGTAACAGAAAATGTTTGAAAATTTAAAAAGTTTTTGTTCATCCATTCATGTATCCATCCATCCATTACCTTCAATTTGTCTGAAAGCAGGTCACAGGAGTAGCAGTTTAAACAGAGAGCCCCAGAGATCTCTTTCTCCAGCCATTTCTTCTTGCTCTTCTGAAAGGATTCGAAGTCGTTCTCAGGCCAGCCAAGAAACATAAGCTCTCCAGCATGTCCTGGGTCTTCCCGAGGGTCTCTTTCCAGTCAGACATGCCCAGTGCTCAAACCACTTCCATCAGCTACTTTTGATGTAGAAGAGCAGCGGCTCTATACCGAGTCTCTCCCGGATAACTGAACTTCTCACCCTATTTCTAAAAAAGAGTCTAGCTACCCAATGAGAAAAATCATTTTGACCACCTGTATTTGCAATCTCATTCTTTTGGTCACTACCCAGAGTTTGATGGACTGGCACAGAGTCCACAACGCTGCAGAATCTGCACTGAACTCTGTCGATCTCACAATCCATTCTTCCCTCACTGATTAACTAAACCCCAAGATATTTTTACTCATCCACTTGAGGCAGCACCTCACACCCAACCCATACAGGGAAATCCACCCTTTTCTGATGGAGGGCCTTAGCCTCAAATTTGGAGGTGCTGATCTTCATCCAGCTGCTTCACACTTGGCTGCAAACCACTCCAGTGAAAGCTGAAGAGCATGGCACAATATAGTAGAAATGTAGTCCTGGGCAGCAGCACAATGTTTCAGTTGATAGAGCTGCTACCTCTCAACAAGAAGGACGCCAGATCAAATTCAGACCTGGGGCCTTTCTGGGTCGAGTTTGCATGTTTTTTCTGTGCATGCATGGGTTTTCTCCGGGTACTCTGGTTTCCTCCCACAGACCAAAAACATACATATTAGGCTGAATGGTAACTCTAAATTGTCCCTAGATGTGAGTGAGAGAGTGAATGGTTGTTTGTCTTGTTTGTCTCTATGTGTCCCTGTGATAGACTTGAGACCTGCCCAGGGTGTACCCTGCCAAAGCTTTGGCTTGCTGATACTCAACTGCTTCCGGAGTTCTACCAGCCAACTAGGTTGATAGGACTCTGTTAACTTGATGACCTCGCTAATCTGGGGTATTCACTACTGAGTTTGAGGTTGGCCAAAGTGAGAAGCACTGAAAATCTTGTGGCCACAGTTCAAGGCAGCTGTCTCAACAATGGAGGTGTGGAACATTGCCCACTCGGGACTAAATGTATCCCTCTTCAGCTGAGATGCAGTCAAAGTTTTTTCAGAAATGTGAGTTGAAGATCTTTCTGCTAGGCGTACCCAACAAACTTTCAGTACATGTTTTGGTCTATTGGGTCTGTCCGGCATCTTCCCTTGCCATCTGAACTAACTCAACACCTCAGGCGTTGATCAGTTGGCAGCTCCGCTCCTCTTTTCACCCGAGTGTCCAAAACATATGAATGCAGATCAGATGATGTGATTACAAAGGCAATCATCCATATGTGACCTAAGGTGTCCTGGTGCTATTTATGTGCACTTATGAACACCCTTATGTTCCAGATTTGTGTGTGTCTTGGACAAATTGTGACTAGCCAAAAAAAAAAAAAAAAGGAAAGTCAGTTTATTTAAAAAAAATTTCACAGCTTCCACCGTTTTATCAGCTAAGAGTCAGGAAACCTTTTCATTTCCCTAAATAATTCATGTTAAATTAATGTTTACTCTAGTGGGGTCTCTGTATTGTTTTTCCATTCAGATCTTGACCATCTGGTGTTTTGAACTGATGTTGTATTTTGTGACAATCTTCACACTTGGAAATGTCTCCTTCAGAGAAAAGGAGAGGATTCCAAGAATACTTCTGAGTGAAGCTAAATGTATGTCAGAGAAACGTGTTAAAACTATTAAAAAATGAAATGGAAAAATTTTCCTCTTTTTACCCCTGCAGTCAAGGCTGGGGCTGGTGCCTTGATGATGTCCCAGTGAAGGACAAGTTGTCTCTGACGTCGTTGCTTCCTGGAGTTCTGTACAGTGCTGTACATCAGTGTCGCCTGCAGTATGGATCCTGGTCCCGTCTTTGCAATGACATGGATGTAAGAGTGCACCCACACTATTTTTCAAATTGGTTTTGAGTCTTGTATTCTCTTGCAGTCTCTTATATATTATTGCAATAGCTAAATTATGTTAGCATATATTTTTCATTTTCCTACACCGAGTAGTCTTTTATTGTTCCACTTTGTAGAGGGAAAAGATGGAATTGGAAATACCCTATGTCCATCTTTGCATGTTGAGAGCATAGTAACTTGAAAAATAAGTGAGATACCAACTTCCATTTTGGTGTGTGGCTGTATCTAGGCATAAGAAAGGTTTCTTTCAAAAATTGGGTTGGTACATCCAAATCAAGATGGGCACCACCTGCATATATGTAAACCAACCACCCCAATTACTTGAGGAAATTGTACTTTTAAGCAATATAAAAACTAGAAACCATAGTTTCCTCAAATGATTGGGATGGCCGAAGATTAATCTATGGTAGCCAAGGCCACGATTGGCAACCCCCCTGGCTATGCCATTGCACACACTACACCCACCCAAAATTGCTGCCTCTACCCTCCAGGATCTGTCACTTTACGTAAAAAATAAACAGCTGCCTCTGTTCTTATACACTTTAATATCTTGCACCAAAAGCACTTAGGTTTATTTGCATTCCCTTTAAATTTCACTCTTAAAATCCTTCACCGCTAGGGGACATTGGCATACCACCTTTTGCTTGACTTTGGTAGCAGATCATAATGCATTCACCTCTATGGACTGTATGTATGTGTTTGTCTGTTAGGTGGGCAACACTCTAGACAACTTTATCAAACACTAAAAACACTTTACTTCAGTCAAATTAGAATTTGAGCTAATATTTTATGTGTTTGTATCTGAAAGTGTTTTAAAGCACACGCTCACCAATTACCGATCACCGATCGCCGACAAACCATGTGAGGTCTTTTTTTTTTTTTTTTACTTTGTCCTTGACAGTTAGTTCCTGTCTGTTTGTTGGCAATGTATCTTATAAACTATGACAGCGACTTTAACAATACCCTGAGAAAATAAACACTGGATGTACATCTACATCTAATTAAATTTTGAAATCCACCTGTTTGCAGATGGCCGACAACAAAATTAATGGTGTTTGTAGGGACTAAGAGGCACGACTTAGTTCAGCCTCAGAAATTAGTGTTAATGTAAAATTTCTTAATTATATTTATTCTACTAGAATTCTCTGATTAAAATGTGCTGTATGCATTTCTTCAGGGAACGGTTGTCCTTTAGATTCATTTATTATTTTCTCACATAGAGGCTGCTTTAGGCTTTACCTTATCTTTGGCTTACTGTCATGTTTTTAATTATTTATCTTCAGATAAAATCAAATGAATTATGAGTAAATTTAATACTAATGAATAATCTTACCTTAACACATGGCATAGGATTGTCCTCACTGAAAGTGAACAATCACAACAGCATGTCATGTTTTCAACAATATTTTTAGAATTGCAATTTACGATTTCTGCATGAGAGGATAATATATATATGTATATATATATATATATATAGGTCCTTCTCAAAAAATTAGCATATTGTGATAAAGGTCATTATTTTCCATAATATAATGATAAAAATGAAACTTTCATATATATTCAGATTCATTGCACACCAACTGAAATATTTCAGGTCTTTAATTGTTTTAATACTGATGATTATGGCATACAGCTCATGAAAACCCAAAATGCCTGTCCCAAAAAATTAGCATATTTCATCCCACCAATGAAAGACAAGTGTTTTTAATACAAAAAACGCCAACCTTCAAATAATCATGTTCAGTTATGCACTCAATACTTGGTCGGGAATCCTTTTGCATGAATGACTGCTTCAATGCGGCGTGGCATGGAGGCAATCAGCCTGTGGCACTGCTGAGGTGTTATGGAGGCCCAGGATACTTTGATAGCGGCCTTAAGCTCATCCAGAGTGTTGGGTCTTGCGTCTCTTAACTTTCTCTTCACAATATCCCACAGGTTCTCTATGGGGTTCAGGTCAGGAGAGTTGGCAGGCCAATTGAGCACAGTAATACCATGGTCAGTAAACCATTTACCAGTGGTTTTGGCACTGTGAGCAGGTGCCAGGTTGTGCTGAAAAATGAAATCTTCATCTCCATAAAGCTTTTCAGCAGATGGAAGCATGAAGTGCTCCAAAATCTCCTGATAGCTAGCTGCATTGACCCTGCCCTTGATAAAACACAGTGGACCAACACCAGCAGCTGACATGACACCCTAGTGACTGTGGAAACTTGACACTGGACCTCAAGCAATGTGAATTCTGTGTCTCCTCTCTTCCTCCAGACTCTGGGACCTTGATTTCCAAAGGAAATGCAAAATTTACTGTAATCAGAGAACATAACTTTGGACCACTCAGCAGCAGTCCCAGGCGAGATGCTTCTGACGCAGTCTCTTGTTCAAAAGTGGCTTGACCTGGGGAATGCGGCACCTGTAGCCCATTTCCTGCACACGCCTGTGCACGGTGGCTCTGGATGTTTCTACTCCAGACTCAGTCCACTGCTTCCGCAGGTCCTCCAAGGTCTGGAATCGGCCCTTCTCCACAATCCTCCTCAGGGTCCGGTCACCTCTTCTCATTGTGCAGCGTTTTCTGCCACACTTTTCCCTTCCCACAGACTTCCCACTGAGGTGCCTTGATACAGCACTCTGGGAACAGCCTATTCGTTCAGCAATTTCTTTCTGTGTCTTACCCTCTTGCTTGAGGGCGTCAATGATGGCCTTCTGGACAGCAGTCAGGTCGGCAGTCTTACCCATGATTGTGGTTTTGAGTAATGAACAAGGCTGGGAGTTTTTAAAAGCCTCAGGAATCTTTTGCAGGTGTTTAGAGTTACGTCGTTGATTCAGATGGTTAGGTTAATAGCTTGTTTAGAGAACCTTTTCATGATATGCTAATTTTTTGGGACAGGCATTTTGGGTTTTCATGAGCTGTATGCCATAATCATCAGCATTAAAACAATTAAAGACCTGAAATATTTCAGTTGGTGTGCAATGAATCTGAAATATATGAAAGTTTCATTTTTATCATTACATTATGGAAAATAATGACCTTTGTCACAATATGCTAATTTTTTGAGAAGGACCTGTATATCATGCAATTTTGATCAGCCGAAAAGACTGAGTTTCTGTTTTCATTGTGTTTGCAGCCAGTTTTAATATCTTCAAGGAATACTTGAGTTTCGGCCCAAACCTTACTGCAAATTGTAATTTATAGAAGGTTAGTTCAAGTTTTATTAAGCTACGATTCTTCATACATGGTGTGTTTATGGCTCTTGTGTGTTTATAACAGAACATTTGATATACTTTGGGACTAAGAGTGTATTTTCTATTGTGGAAAAGTGATATTGGAGTTGATTTGCTTCGGGCTGTGAGTTAGTCTTTGTGCTGTACAGCCTCCCCAAAGCTTTGCACTTCAGTTTATGTTTGTCGTTATCAATAATCAAATGGTTCATATTTTCTTGGTTTGAGTTTGTAAACCCTCCCAGGTATTTATATGTGTATATGGCAATCCAATATTGGACCTGCAGATTCAGCAGTGATTTTCATCCGCCTTAGATTGGTGAACATGAAAGTAGATGAATATTAGCAGAAGATTAATATTTTCAGTAATTTATCAGTGCTCATTTAGTTGACTTTATGACACTTTTCAGTAATTAAATCTCTGAGAGCAAATCCTGTCAGTTAAAATCTAAGCTCTAATATTTGCAGTAAGACTGTAACATTTTTATTGACCCAGAAAGAAAGATTTTGTTGAAGGATTTCAGGAGCTCCTATAAATGTAGCTACCAGTAATAAATTAGCCTTTCAGAGGTTCAAAGCTTATCCTGGACTTCAAACATAGATATCTGTAAGGACATAGCACTGCCTGAACACCACTGACTCTGCTCCCAATAATGATGAAAACTATCTTGTACAAAAGAAAAAGACGAGGATCTCAGGGCTTACATGACATCGAGGCTGTACAGCAGATACAGCACAACCTTTGTGTAGAATCAGAATCAGCTTTATTGTCATTGCACCAAAGCGCAACAAAATCAAATTTCAGTACAGCCTGTCCAAGAGAAACATAACAAACAGATATGGGGAAATGGAAGTGACTGAGGCCGCTGACCTTGAGAGGTACAGCCCTTTTTTTCCCAGATAAGAAAAAAGAAACACAAAGGGGAGTGTAAGTGTAAAAGAAAAAAAAAAAATCAAATCTCGCATTGTGTCCTAGATGGGACACAGTATGAAAGTTGCAAAAAAAGTACTTCAGCACATGAAACAGCAACATACTGATGACATCAGAAACATTTATTCATGAGGAGGCCGACGAGGGAGTGGGTTGTCTGTGGAGACTAGAAGAAAGTTCCACAGGCCTGATAAAGATGGCACAGTGTCTTTCAGCCGGCTCAACTCTGACACAGATCCACAGTTGTCCTTGGGAGGGGAGCCATGGGGGGAGGGTGGGAGCTTCTCATTCACATAAACAACCAGGAGGCTGAGATAGCTGGCCAATTCAAGGCCGAGTGGAGAAGCCAAATTCAGATAACACAATTATTTTGGGTCAGGCAGCCTCTGCTTGAATTTCCATGTCTGCCTTCATAGTTCTGCTGGTACGTCTCACTGGCAATTCCAAACAGCCAAATTTTGTGGTCGCACCACCGGACTGAGATTGTAGCCTTCTCCAAGATTGATTTCTTCCCGCCAGTGAGTCCGAGGAGCTTCTCAGAAATCACTTCTTGCTTATGGCTCAGCTCATGCAACGTCTGAGAGCTTACTGCTCGGTACATTCCTTCATACAAGGCAGGCAGCGTAACAATTGCCAGAACCACTGCTGCCGTCTTTCGAATTTTTCGATATGCCAGATTCCCGCCAACACTAAAAAGCAGAAATCCACTTATCATACTGTAAATCTAATTATGTAAGTGGCTTCTACATCCTCAATGGACAATACAGACAGACCCACCGTCTTCCATTGGCCCCAGGAATCCATAGTATATCCAGCTGCGAGTGTG